TTTACTTTTTTAAAATACAAAAGCTTGGGACCAGCAGATAGTGTAATGGTTATGTTGCTGGACTCCCATATAGTTGACTGTAGTTTGAGTCCTGGACCTGGCAACTTAAAATTCATGCTGGGCAAGTGTGCGTGCATGCCCAAAATTGCAAGAGAATGGAAGAGAAGGGATTGTGGTATGACCATTCTTCCTGGGGCGGGTGGAGGAGGTGCTTGGGGTGATTTCTTGCTGTCTCTCTGTTTCTCTAGTGAGTACATGCACCCTATACTAAAAATCTCTTAAAAAATACAAAAGTTTATTATAAAATGGACAACAATTTAGAAAAACATAAAGAAGAAATACCTGAAATACCACTACCATAGCAAACCTAGTTTAAACTAAAAAATATCTTAACCTACTGCTTTAATGAGTATATGCTACAGAAGGAGGAAGGAAGGAAGGTAGAAAGAAGAAAGGAAAGAAGCAAAGGGAAAAAAATGAAGAGAAAGAAAAGGAAGGAAGAAAAGGAAGGATACATGGAAAGAGGAAAGAAAGAAGGAAGGAAGAAAAGGGTAGAGGGTATATCTTTATATTTTTATCATCTGCTTTCTTGAACAGGCAAAGGCTTTCAGTCCATACTCCATGGATTTCCTTCAAGCACCATGAAACAAATAAGGCACAGATCAGATTCTATGCACTACTCACACAAAGAAAACATTCTTAACTCAAAGAGAACAATTCAGTTTTTATTTATATGTTTTATATTTTAAATGAGATCAAGAACCATGTGAAAATTGGGCAGGCTACATGAAAAGTTGGGGAAACATAGATAAGTATTCAGACTGATGAGTTGGTTTTCCCTAAAAGCGACACCCTCCAAACACTGACCGGTAGCCTATGGCCAGCACATGCATGGGGGAAGAGCAGGACAAGAAGGTTCTGAGGGTGGCTATCCTTAGCCTCTCCTCCACTGTCCAGGAAAATTCACCTTTGGCCCCAACCAACTAATGTTACTCTACCACCATATTTAGACAGAAGCTAAATCTTCCAGGATGTTTTTGGCTATAGGTAATAGAAATTCTATCATACTGTCTTACATGCTCCTATTTTCCTAAAACAGGAAGCCCAGAGCTAGGCATGCTGGACTCAAGATAATCCAGCATACAAATTCTTTCCTTTCTCATCTCTGTCATCCTTATCGTTGTCCTGAGTCAGTCAGTTTTCTTGTGGTTCCTAGATGTCTTTTGATAGCAACTGAGGCACACCCTACAAAGACCTGGAAGGAAAACTTGTTTAGTGAAGAGGAATATGTTTTTTTCTGACTAGGTCAGCATAGGCCAATAGTCATTCCTGGTCCAAAATCAGACTTCAAAGGAATGCCAAACTCTGATTATCATAGACCAGGGATCTGCAAGTTTTTTCTGTAAAGGATCGGATACTAAATAAATTATATGGCCTTAGTCACAGCAATTCAAGTCTGTACTGTATTGGGAGTGCAAAAGCAGACAAGGTTATATATAAATGAGTTTAGATGTGTGCCAATAAAATTTATATATATATTTGTATAGTGTCTAAAACAGGCAAATCTATAAAAATGAAAATAGATTAGTGTCTGCTGCCTAGGACTTAGTGGGCTGGGGGACTAAGTGGTGATGACTTGAAAGGCATAAGTTTTCTTTTGGTATAATAAAAATGTTCTAAAATTGACACTAGCCACACTTCAGTCAATCATAGAAAGTCTTCCTTTTAGGCTATTCAAGCTGCCTGCCATCCAGTTGTAACCAATCTAATTATTTTCTCTACCTCACTGTCTCACTTTCATTTTTGTATGTCACTTTCCCTTTCCTACACATGGCCCTTACCCTTTCCACAAACTTAAATACGCTGTGACCATGTGACTACCTGCAGTTGCTTGGAAGTCATTCTGGGAAAGTGACTGATTAAAATTGTCCCTTGTTCAAATATATTCTGTTAAAATTTTGGTTTGTCTAAAATTTTTTTTAACAATACAAACAGCCATTAAATTGTATATTTTATTTTAGGTTTTTGCCCTATGGTATGTGTATTCACTGGAAAGAGACAGGGAAAGTGAGAAATCACGCCTTCAAGTAGACAGCCATGCTGCAGTCCCTTCTCCTCCATTCTCCTCTTAGAATTTTAGGCATGTGCACACTTGTACTTGGCATGATTTTCAAGCCACCAGGTCCGGGGCTTGAACCACAATTCAAGTACTTGGCTATGTGGGAGTCCAGTGCCTTAACCACCATGCCACCTGCTGCCCCCTAAATGTATACTTTAATTGGGTGAATTGTTTGGTATGTAAATGATAGTTCAATAAAAAAAGATGTTAAAAAAATTCATGGCCATTGAATTTGAATTCCATATAATTTCAGCTATCAAGAAACACTATTCTTCTGATCATTTTTCCCCCAATCATTAAAAAATATGAAAATTTGGACCAGCAGATGGCATAGCAGTTATATTGCTGGACTCCCAGATGGTCAACCATAGTTCAAGACCTGGACCCAGTGTTTTGAAAAATCATGCTGGGGGAGGACAACAGGGGGCATGGTGGTTAAGGATGCTGGACTCTCAGATGGCTGACTGCACTGCAGTTCAAGTCCTGGACTTGGCGGCCTGCTTTCTCACTTCCCCTTCTGTCTCTTTCTCTCTCTCTCACTCTGTCCCTTTCTGGTCAAATAAATTAATAAAGTTAAATTAAATTATTAAAAATTTATAAAAAGGAAAGAAAAATTATGCTGGGAGCATGTGCATACATGTTCAAGCTCTCAGGAAGAGGATGGAGGAGAAGGGATTGCAGTATTGCCGTCTCCCCTGGGGGGAGTGATTTCTCACTTTCCCTTTCAGTGTCTCTCTCTCACTCTCCATTGTGTGCATGCACCCGAAAGCAAAAATCTTTTTAAAAAAATGTAAAAACAATCTTTAGTTTGTGGGCAGTAGTGGCTAGCATATTTGGTTCATTGGCCTTAGTTTGCCGATCGTTGGCTTAAACTGATCAGAATGCCCTTCTAAAGGTAGAGAAGAAGTGTCCTTCTCCTGGGCCAAATGAAATAAAAGTTAACACTTGAAAACAATCAGGATTCCTTGGTGGAAAGAAAAAGAAAACCAATGGCTAGAGAGTAAACAGCTGTGCCCCTTGAATCAGTTTAGGAAACATCTTTTAGCTGAGTGTGAACCTTGGGCATTGAACCTTTAAGCCCAAGCCCATTATCAAAATTTTTTTTCTAGTCCCTCCCATGACCCTATAAAGAATTTTAGTATAAAGATATCCTGATCTCACTATATTTTCAATGATATGTGAGCATCCTTATTGATGGTTTCAGGGGCACAGGGTTATGGGATACCTCTCCAGATAGAAGTAGACCAAGGGGTGGGACCAGCTGGTAGCATAATGGTTACATCGCTGGACCCCCATGTAGTCAATTGTGGTTCGAGTCCCAGACCTGGTGGCTGAAACTCAAGCCAAGCAAGGGATGAGGCATGGCCATCTCCCCTGGGAGGTGATTTGTTGCTTTCTGTCTCTCGGTCTCTCTCTGTCTTTCTGACAAGTGCACGTGCCCTATAGCAAAAACCTCTCTAAAAAAAAAAAATAAATAAATAAATAAAAGAAAAAAAAAGAAAAAAAGTAGAGAGACTTAGGTCACTTCATTTTGTAGCTTATTTGGAAACTAATGTAGGAAACACGGACTTCTTTAGCTTCTGTTCTGACTTCAGTTTCCCTTCCAGTGTTTGAGAGCAAGTTTGATGCAATACAAAGATCACAGCCTGGAAAGTCAAGAGACTTGGCCTTAAACTGCTTCATGACCTTGGGGAAGTCCCCTAACCTATAAGATAGACAGTTACAAGAGCAGCTTCAAGAACAGTAAAGATTGCTTTTCTGAGTCAGAGGGATGAGAAGATAATCCCTTCTAGCTTGGAAGAGAGGAGAGTGTTCTTAAAACAAGAGCATGTGAGATAAGCCTTCAGGGGAAGGTTGTAATTGCGAAGTTGGACAAAGGGCCTAAAGTGCTAAGAGTATGACAGGGATTTAGGCTTGGATAATGTGCTGGAATGCTTGAATGGGAGTGTTGTAGACAGAAGGTCTAGAAGGGGAGTTAGGAATGGACCTGAGGAGGGTCTTAAGAAGGTAGTACAACACACTCATAGAAATTGGTATCAATAGTAAATTTTAGGTTTTTTTAGGATGTTGAATTTTGTGGGTTTTTTTTTTTTCAATTTTGTAATAAAATTATGTATATTAAAAAAAAAGAAGGAAGTGAGGGATTCGGCTGAGGCATTCTAGCCCAGACAGGAGGAGGTACTGCAGTGAGGATGCTAACCTGGTACTTTATCTGCTGTCCCTCCTGGATGTCAAATCTCTGCTTTCCTGAGAACAAACCAGGAAAAATTTCAGGCCACAAATCTACCATTCTGGCCTCCTGGTTGCAGTTTCACTCATGCCCCCTCTCCTCTTAAGAAAGCGAATTTGTCTGCTTCAGTGTGTTAAGGTAGGTTTATTTCACTTTACGGTGAACAAAATTGAGTTCATTGACTTTATAAGGCTCTTGGTGCACACTCCATATAATTTTTCATCATTTTTCCCAGAATGACCCTTTCTTAACCATTTCCTCACCCAAACTGGCAGAAGAAAGAGAGGCCCCTCAGTATTTCTAAAGGGGATTACTAGTTTCCCTCCAAGAAAGAGAATTTTCTGTAAGGCAGTGAGGAGCAGAAGACAGGGTAGAGAGCTCCCTCAGAGGCAGTCAGTGGGGCCATCTTTCAGGCAAACAGGGCTTGGGTCCAGAGAAAAACCTGGTAACACCCTCAAGAAATTGCCTTCACTTGGAGACTTTTGTGTTGAAACTTCCATTCCCCATGATGAAGTAAGCCCTGTAGTCATCTAATTGGAAAATGCTGTGGGTGAGTGGGATGAAGGCCTGGGGAAAGCAGGTATTATCAAATGCTGGTGCACCTCAAGTGCACTGGCAGGCTTGTCGGCAGGCTGCTCTGGGCCTCCGATAGGCTGGAAGGACACTGCTCCAACAAAGACTGGAAGGACGTTTTCTCCTTGTTCCAAAAAACATTCTACTCTACCCAGGAGACACGAACTTGTGGATTCACCTTGAGAATTTAACGCTTCGTGTTAGTGTGCTCTACTCCAGCATCCTCCTTCGAGATGCCAACACCCTTTGAGCAGCAACATATGCAGGTGAGCAGCCACATGGATAACTAGTGCTTTGGGGTCATGCCGCCCTGCATTTTAATATTCTTTCTGCCTGTGAACAGCAGAACAAGCCCTGTCGAAATAGCTGCCTAATGTTTCTGAGCTTCCGTTTCCTCATTTATTCTTTTCTTTTCTTTCTTTTTTTTCTTTTTTTTTTTTTTGAGAGGTTTTTGTTATAGGGCACGTGTGCTCGCCAGAAAGACAGAGAGACACAGAGAGACAGAATGTGAGAAATCACCCCCCAGGGGGGATGGCCACGCCGCAATCCCTTCTCCTCCATTCTCCTCTCAGGATCTTGGGCACGCACACACACGCTCCCGGCGTGAGTTTAAGCAACCGGGTCCAGGACTTGAACTGTGGCCAACTACATGGGAGTCCAGCGACATAGTCATTACACAAACTGGCTGGTCCCTGTTTCCTCATTTATGAAATGGAATATTTATAATCTCCCTCTTAAGGTGGTTATGAGTATAAATTGAGAATAAGGGCACCTGCCAAATGCAGTTTTACAGTATTTTATATTTGCTGTCTTAATAAGTCCTCACTACTACCTTATAAGGCAAGGACTATTGTGATTCTCATTTTATAGATGCAGAAAACTAAGATATCCAGATACATGGCAGAGTTGAAATTTGAACCCTGGCTGCCTGACTTAATAGTTCAAACACCATGATATATGCCTTGGTATGTTTTTGAGTCTCAGCAAATAGAGGTTTGGCATTGTTCGTGTACACCATTTTATAAAATCCCATGATGTTAAAGGCTCACAGAGCCTGGGAAACTCTGGGGACATAAAGAAGAGAAAGGGAGAAAAATAGAAGCCAGGGGCAAATGCAGCAAGACCTGATGCTTCTCTGGAATGGGGCTGTGAACCGTCTTAGGTGGTTGTTGATGCTCCCAGTTTAGAGCACATGACGCTCCTACCTGCTTGTCTGGCCAAGAACCACATCCCATTCATGGGGTTTGTCTCCAGACCCAGAAGACATGGTTTGAACTAGGCTAAGCAGCCTACAGGGTTGTATGCCAGGCCCTACTCTGATGTACCCAGGCCTGAAGAATTTAGGAAAGCTATGAAATCATTGTCAGCTATCCTTATTTCTGAAAATGGATCTCTTCTGCTTCCCCTCATAATAAGATTTTGAATGTCTAATGCCAACACAAAGGTGGGAAGTAGTATGTTAGGAAAACACAATAGTATCTGAGTAGAAGACAGGTGTGTTTGGTTGCTAAATTCTTTATTTATCCATGGAATAAATATTGACTGAGTACCTAGGCCAATATGCTAGATCTAGTGTTTGCACCAGTGGTGACACATCAGCAAGATTAAGTTCTTGGCCTTTGGAGTTTTATCCCAGAGGTAGAAATGTATACAGTGCCTTCTACAGAGTATGGCACATCCCCTCTGCAGTCGTGCAGTGAAGTTCAACAAAAGAGAAACAGATCCTGACATTCACATCGGTTATGATAAACGCAATTCTCATGAATTCATCAACTCATTGCTTGTGCTGTACAGAGAATGAGCTAGTGCTATTAATTAAAGCTTCATTCCCAGGTTTGGGCAACAGGCAGCGAACTCAAGAACTCAGATGACACTGTGAATTTAGTTCAGTCTAATTTGTTTTTGTTTTGTTTTGGTTTTTCATTTTGAGAAGTTTTTGCTATATGGTATGTGCGCTCACTGGAAAGACAGAGAGACACAGAGAGACAGAAAGCAAGAAATCACCCCGCATGGGGGGATGGCCACGCTGCAATCTCTTCTCCTCCATTCTCCTCTCGGGATCTTGGGCATGTATGTGCACATGCCTGACGTGAGTGTAGGCTGCTGGGTCTATGACTTGAGCCACAGTTGATGATGTGGGAGTCCAGCGACGTAACCGTTGCATCATTTGCTGGTCTAGTTTGCATGTACATTTCTCGAAGGGACTAGAAGGCAGCCAATTCTCTCTAACTTTTTACAGTTTCACATCTATTTCTGGGAAATGATCATAGACTTATAAGTTATTCAAGATGGACTAGCTTTGGGGGATCCCTAAGAGCAACATTTCTAATCTTTTTTTCTTATTTTCTTTTTATGACAGTGCATGTGTATACACACACACACACACACACACACACACACACACACGAGTGAGACAGAAACAGAAAGAGGAATTAAAAGCACCCCCTATTGGAGCCAGGTCATGCTGCAGTTCTTCCTGCAACTCTCTGTCCTGTCAAAATCCTGGGCATGCACAGTCACACCCAGCATGTTGCCTCCGTGGCTAGAATTCGAACCCCCACAGGATCTGCCTTCCTCTTCCCAGCACACTTAACTGCTGCACTACCAAAATTAGGTTGACCCTTAATCTTAAAAATAGGTCCTAAGGTACAAAAGGACATGCCCAGTTCAGGCAAGGATACATTTTACTTATTTCAGAAGATATATCTGGGTGATTTTGACAAGTAATAGGATTGCACAGATTTATGTTTTATTAGCAAAGTCAACCTAATCAAGATCTTAGTCCTCCAATGATTTGGTAGTTGAGTGCTAATGACATATATAAACTACACAATAACCCTGGATAGCAGATTGTGGGAACAAAGCCATGTGGGTCAGCCTAAAGGCATCAAAGGGTAGAATTTAATGCTTTTCTATCAGTGACATAGGCTCAAAAACCAGAATACTCTCATCTCTTGCCTAGTACTCTTTGGATATCTAGCACTCTTGTTCTATATGATTTCAGAAGGACTAGTTTATCAGACTCTCACTTTAGTCCTGCTCTAGTCTAGTCCCTCACAGTGGTAAGGTGACTCTTTAAAAGTAAATTAAATTATAGGAGCTGGCAAGTAGTATGGTGGTTGAGGTGTTGGACTCCCACATGGTCAACTACAGTTCGAATCTCGGACCTGGCAGCTTGCTTTGGACTGAGTAAGAAATCTAAATGTGTCTTCCTTCCCAAAATGGCTGCCTGAGTTCAATCTGTTACCTTCACACTTACTAATGAGAAAATCCAACCACAGCAGTGAAAACCCAGTATATATTTCTATATTCAGCAAGTAGATGGTATAATGATTCATTCAACCACATCTATTGAATTTCTCTTAGTTGGAAGTCACTGTTGGAGGACTAAGAACATAGCAGTAAACCAAAAAGTCCTTAATTGAATAGTCTATTACAGGTAACAGAAAAAAATTGGACAAATAAACAAATGCATATTTTAGTTTTAGTCAGTGATAAATATTAATAAAGAAAAATAGAATAAAAATAGACCAATAAGAGGAGAAAAATATGATTTTATATAGGTGGACAACAATGGCCTCTTTGAGAAAAGCTCTTTCGAATAGCATCTAAATAGGAGGAGATGTCACATAAATATATGGAGAAACCCTCTCCAGGCAGAGGAAACAGTAGTGTAAATGTCTTGAGGCTGGTGCACACTGGGTTTAGTGTTATAGCACAGGTAAAGGGCCAGAGTGGCTGAAATGGAATAAATTAAATGAAGAGAAGTAGAAAATAAAGTTGGAAGGATGACAAGAAGCCAGACCATGTAGAACTTTGTAGACCATAGGAAGGACTTATATAGGAGTGAAGTGGGCAACCATTAGAGTAATTCATATGGGAATGGTATAATAATCTAATTTACTTTAAAAATAATTATCTTATTTATTACTATTTATTACTAATTTTTTTGGAGAGGTTTTTACTATAGGGCATGTGCACTCACCAAAAAGAGAGAGAGACAGAGACAGACAGAAAGTGAGAAATTGACCCCTAGGGAAGATGGCCATTCCACAATCCTTTCTCCTCCGTTCTCCTCTCAAGATCTTGGGCATGCACGCACACATGCCCGGCATGAGTTTAAGCCACCGGGTCTGGGACTCAAACTGTAGTCGACTACATGAGAGTCCAGCAACATAGCCATTATGCCATCTCCTGGTCCCTATTTATTACTATTTTTTAATTTGACCAGGAAGAGAGAGAGAGAGAGAGAGAAAGCCACCAGGTCTGGGATTTGAACCTTGGTCAGCCACGTAGGAGTCCAACACCTCAACCACCACACTACCTGCTGGCCCCTGCAATTTAATCTACTTTTAAAGAATCACCTTCCTTCTGTGAGAGAATAGACTGGAGTAGAACTAAAGTGAGAGACTGATAAACTAGTCTTCCTGAAATCATTAAAACAAGAGTGCAAGAATGAGGAGTCTGTCATGGATGGAGAGTACGGGGATAGGATACAGGGAGGTAGGTAGCACCCCGTTACTGTCTCCACTTAGGGAACAGTGCAGACTACCACTTTCTAGATATTTAACTGTACAAATCAGTTAGCTTGGGTTTTAATTTCCTCATTTGTCAAGAGGATAAAAGCATCTCGTAGGGAATTTTAAGGGTCATAAAATACAATATTCTGTCTGTACATAAATGTTCCATAGCTGTGAGCTAGTATTTATGGCACTTGTCATTTAGAGGAAACTGAGGTAGGAGGAACAGGCTTTGTTCAACCACTCAGTTTATTGCTGGCTGGACCAGGACCAACATTTATCTTCTGATTCCCCATAGAGTGATGAAAGAATAGAGGACTATGAGAGCATAGAGTAGTAGGAGGTGCTCATGGAGACATTAAAATGTGAATTCAGGGGCTAGCCAGGTGATATGATGGTTAAATTCCACATGGCCAACTCTGCCGTTCAAGAGTTGGGACCTGGTGGCTTGAACAACATGCTGGGCACGTGTGCATGTGTGCCCAAAATCCTGAGAAAAGAATAGAGAAGGGATTGCAGCATGGCCATCCCCCCTGGAGCATGCTTTCTCACTCTTTCTCTCTGAGACTGCCTCTAGAAACAAGCCCTTTAGCGAACTAAAAACAAGCAAACAACTTGAAGCTGGCCCTCTTCTCCCAATCTCCCTCTTTGTAAGAGGAGTGTGGAAAATCAGGCAATAATGAGTTTATCATGAAGCAACTGTTCATTCCCTGAGCCTTTTCACTGGTATCATCAGAAAATAATATGTCTACATGATACCCAAGAACTTAGGAGCTTCTCACTTAGGCCTTCCCATCTATTTGCTTTTGGAATGTTCCTGTTTATAATAGGCTACCACTTCTGTCCCAAGGTAGAAGGAGATGCTTGACAGTTCCTTCTTCACCTCATGTTTGCCTCCTCCTAGCCTGTGTGTGTATAGGGGTAGGTGGGGTTCCTCATCACCAAGTCTCTTCACTGGTAACTCTTCTATCACTGACTACACAGATGTACTCTCTGGAATTACTGGTTTATCTTCTCAGTACACAGATGAAGAAACAGGCAAAGGGACAAAGTCGCAGTCACGTGACAAACTGGAGGCAGAACTAGGACTAAACTTCAAGTTTCTCAGTTCCTAACCTCGTTCTCATTCTATCACTTCATTCTGTTGCAGGATGCATAAACCCAAGCCCTTATTCATCTTCTTCCACAAAAATGGAACTGTAAAGCTACAAGGAGGGCTTCAAGGAGTGATCGCATGGGAACAGCAAATAGATAAGGTAGGAGAGAAATCGTCATATAACTTGAAGAATAAAATTATTGTCTGTCTGCTGTGAGGTTGAGTACTATAGCTTCCTTCATCCTCTCTCCTCTAGTTACTTTCTGTCATTTTGCACTGGTGACACATAGCCCCGTGTTGCATAATCTCTCCTCCTGAGGGATGACACAAGGTAGGCTATGCATCCTTCTCTCCTCTTAGTATCAGGACCAGGCACAGATGGGTAACTAAGAAGGATTAGAGAGCAATTCAGCAACAGCCAAGCTAGAAGAAGAAACAATATATTATCTTAAAGGGCTGGACTATAATTTCCTGGTCTTCCCCCCTTATCCCTTCACTGTGGGCAAGTCATTTATACATTTGGGGCTTCCAAGGAATCCTCATTTCTCAAGTAGGAATACAAATGTCTAGCTTGCCTGAGCTAGGGGACTGTGCTTCTCAAGGCCAAGAGCTAAGAACCTTAGACAATACTTGGAAACTACCATGCCACCTGCTGGCCCGCAATACTTGACCAGTATTGTTACTAGAGTACATCCTGCATCAAATCATGACACAGTTGACGGTCTTTCTTCGTGCTCCTTGAGAACAAGGTTCAAACTGTACATTGTAATCCTGGTTCCTGCGAACCAGAGAGAGCCAGTCTTTAGACATTAGAGTCAGAAACATCAGGCTGTACTTCTTCCTAGTTTGATGATCCTTGCACAAATTACTGTCAAAGCATAATTTTCAAAAGGTTTGAAAAAAAGAGGCCTTTATATAAATACACAGTGAGCCTACATCAGAGATTTATTATCTCTTTAATGAAGGAACAAAAATGATGATAAAGTTTTGTCAAAGAAGGATCTGAGTGCTGGTATTTGTAATCACTGCAAAATGAAAAAAAAAATCACTGAAATAAGATGGTTAAGGAACATACAAAGGCAGTTAAATTCCCTGCAAGACAACAAAACCATAACTTTTGGGGTTATCTTTTCTATTGGACAGAAATTATTTACTCTCAAAAGTCAACTTCTTACTCATCTTCTATACATTAACATCGTAAACTAAAGAACCTGGGTTTAATTGATCAGAAATCAAATGAGATATAGTCTCCTTCAGAATCAGGTAGACCTTGGGAGAGCCTATAAGAGTATGTGCCAGTATTGAAGGATACATAGTCCTTCTTTTCCCTTAATTCCTAGTTCTGAATACTTTTTAATCATGAGTAATGTTTTTAAGGCTCAATGTCTTTTTCTGTAAAATGGGGCTAATAATACCTACGTCCTATGTTTGTGAACATGAAACAAGACACGGAAGACTCCCAGCACACTGTTTGCTGTGCTAAGTGTTGTGACAAGGTTAGTCACATATTCAAGTTCAAGCCTTGGAAGAGAAATGCAGAGTGACCACCAGTCAGAAACAATGCTATATATTTTACATATGCTTATATATACTTTGTATGCCCTCAGAAAGACCTGGGAGGTGAGTATTAGTTTTTTTCTGCCTTACACACAAAGAAATTCAGCTTACCAGGAGTTAAATGACTTGCTTATGATTTTAGGACTAGACAGAACAGAGTTAATCTGTGATTCCAAAGCACTTTCCATAAATATCGCCGCTTCTTTAAAAGAAAAAAGAAATAAAGAAAAATCACAAGACAAGGATTTTTCAACAGCCATTGCATTGAACTCGTTTGATTTAGCAGCATTTATTCATTTTCTCGTTATTCATCCCCTTTTGTTCCTTCCTTCCTCCCTCCCCCACCCCTAAACCAAAAGCTTTTCTCTTTACCATTCACTTAACACTTCAAAGCAGGAAGGATGTGCCTCTGAGTGAAAGATTGTGCTGGCAAAATGACACTCCATTTTCCAAGAGCCCTAACAAAGCCTTTTGATTTGAATGTCAATGCTGCGCGTATGATTAAATGTAAGATTCACTTTTACATTCCCCAGCTGCAAGAGAAGTTGTACAGTTCAATTAGTTTGCCATGTGGTTGAGGATGCAACCCCTAAAAGTTGCTATGGTGATAACGACTCATGAGAAGGCTGGTGTTGCAACTGAGGCTAGAGCCCAGTGAATTTCCAGGTACTGAAACCGGAAAGGTTAGGGGTTGGGAGGTTGAGGCAATGTACTTTTCTTTAGCATCCTGTGAAGATATTATGTGATTGCTGTTTCTGTGATGCTTGAGTTCTTAATACTCACACATGAAGATTCATCTTTTCTTCTTGGACAAAGAATTAGCTACAGGCAGGGCCTTTGCTTGTTCTCATTCTCTGTGTGTCTGTCTGTTGACCTTGACATGAATTTGGGATCTAAAATGGATAATCAAGGAAAAAGTACCAAGATATTAGAATTTATTTATAATAGTCTTCAGGCCCTCATACTCCACTTTTGGGTACTTCTTTCTCATAACAACCCTAGTCTCCTTCAGTCCTTTCCAATGACCAGCTCAATAGCCTGGTTCTCCTGGCTCTGTAGAGTTCTGAGTAGATAAACTAAGTGAAGGAAGAGAGCGAGACATCTGAACATTTGCAAGAAAGATACCTCCATTATTTGTTTCCTCTGAGACAGTTTACACAAAGTGTCATCATCGGTTTTATTTTCCCCTTTCTGAACTGTAAGTCCATGACAGCGGAAACCCACCTATTTATCCAGTTTACAGCTGTACTTCCTCCCAGTCAGTATAGAGCTTGGTACTAGCAGGAAATGAACAACTGCCCCCAGCATGAATCCTGACTTCTGCAGGGTCTTTGTGAAAGCCACTTTATTTTTGCTAGATGCCAGTATCCTCCTTTGTAAACTGGTGGTGGCCATTCTCCTCTGCCTCTTTGTGGCAGCAAAGAGTTAGTAATGGACACACAGAAGCTTTTTTAATGATAAGATGCTAGAGAAATGAAAAGACTTTTTCTTTGAAATGGATGGTGCCTTCTGGATCTGGGGGTATAGAGAGTAATTTTGAAACCAAGCAGGCTCCTCTCTCATACAAGAAATGACTTGAAGACGCATGCAGCAAGAGGTTATCAATTTCCTCATTAAAATGGCCCCAGAGAGTCACACTAGTAAGATGTTCCCTTAATCTCTTTTGCAGAAGTATCGTTAAGAATTTATTAAAGTTGGGAGAATGATTTGATAACCTTGAATAATAGGTGTGACAGGAGTGTAAACTTATATTATTAAAACATGAATTAGATTGTTTTCTGGATGACTTAAGTAGGCAACGGGGCGAAGGCAATTTCAGAAGGTGCTTTGTGTTGCCTGGTGAAGAATGAATGCTAAATTTGGCTGTTGTCCATCTTCCCCCCCACCCCCCACAGAAGGCTATGGTGCAGGCAATAAAGAGAGGCAGATAGAAGCCAGGATGTATAGTTGGGAAAACTGGGTTGGTGTCTGACAAGATAACTAACTGAAGAGCGTGAGGCAAGGCACAGACTTCCTTCCATTTCATGTGTTTAGACACAAGAAAACACTTTAAAATGTATTCTACAAAACCAGATTTACAAGCTATCAATTAAAATGACATGGGAAAAATAAAGGGAATTCCTTAGTCCAATAAGACAGATAGGCTGTGAGTTTAAAATTAAATAAGCGTGCTTTAGAACCATACTTCTGAAAGCTTTTAATATGTGCCTGTCAGTCCTGTGGGGAGAAGAGAAGATCGAAGGCAAATGCATTGTACTTTAAATGTGTCATGATGGATTGTGTTTCTTTGCAGATAACATCTTAGTAATATCCATTTCCTACTTTGTGAAATGATGTCTTAGGGGACTCTGTGCAAAAGTCCATCAGGACATCCTAAAACAAAACTTTAATTCCAATGAGACATTTTTACATGTATTAGATGGAGTGTTAACAGGCAAGCAAGTAACGAAACAGGCAAATCCAGCGTTTCTGGCTCTGAATTCTGCCCTTTAGATATCTCCTTTGGAATGCATCAAAGATGTGGCAAATAAACCTATCCAGAGCCAGTCTGAAACACCTTCCCTTTTGCACCAAGTCTGTCCCAGATCCCTCCAATATTCATTCCTCAGTTAGCCAGACTTGCCACACAGAAATGAAGGAGCCATCTCTAACTGTTCCTTATTCCTCCTCCCCATGTCTAAATCCTCTTCAGTCCTGTTTACCTCCTAGACACTTCTCCAGAACCGATACCTCTCCAGAACCAATCACTTGCCCCCATCTCAATCAAAATGAATGCTGGCAAGCAAATCTGGTTTTTATAGTTTAGCACATGTGCCATCTCATTTAATCCTGCAGGTAGCTCTCTATCCCACATTACAGATAAGAAAATTGAGGTTCAGGGAACTTGAGGAGCTTGCTCAAAGTTATTCAGGCAGTCTACTAACAGTTAAGTCAAGAAATAGACCCAGTTCTGAGGCACTCTTGGGAAATATTCTTGCTGCTTCCCTGAGTGTAACTTGAGTCCAAGTTTCCCCATTGTTCAAATGTGATTTTAGAAAATTCTGCCTTGCCTACATTATAGTATTGATATAAGTATAAAATTCAGGCCAGAGATGGAGAGCACTTTAGAAATGTAAAAATTATTGTACAAATGCAAGGTCTTATTACTCTACTAAGCTGCAGAATTCAAGCAGGCCAGGAGAATGCATCTCAATTGGAATAATCTCTGTGATAACAGCTTCAGACAATCTTTAGAAAGAAGGTACTGTCTGAGAGTGCTGTCCGTCTCCTTGAATAAGAACTCCTACAAAATTCATGAAAAGCAGGCAACATTAAGCCATTTGAACTGCATTTCTAATTTCCCAGATGGCTCAATCCAGAATCTCTAACCCAATTTTAGAGCTTTAGTGCTGTTAAAAGCACCACGTTCACCTCCTTTATTACAGATGTGAAAACTGAGGCCTATAGCCGCCTCAGTCCAGATCAAAGTCTTAAGGCAAGTCTCAATTCTTTTTCTTTCTTTCTCTCTTTTCCCAGCTTCCAACCTAGGCTTTTTTCAGTAGTTTTTTTCCACCTACATGATCTCTGAATTTCTCCTTCTGGAGGTAAGAGACCCTTGGTAGC